TACTGACTGGAGTGACGTCCCTCAGTGAGCCGACTTCTACAAGTTCCAATTTTGTGCTCCGCGGCTCTATCACTTGCCAGAAGCGGCCGACGGAGGCCCCCTCCCCCGCCGTCTATCCTCCCGAATATCGCCTCGGATTCACTTCTCCACACATCCTACCTTCCAGAAAGTGGTCGCTTTTCTGTTCAGAGAGTTGTTGCTATTCCTTTCTTCGGTCTCATGTTGAGTTTGTAGGTATTCAGAATGGTTTGATCCCTATCCAGCTGAATTCCTGGGACCAGACGAAATCCAGGTCTCCTGGAAAAGTTTCTGAGATTCTAACACCTTCAGATGCTGCCTTTCCTAGAAGTATCCATATCCTCTCTTTAAGAGAAGGCTCAAAAACTCTTAGAATCACAATAACTTAACTCAAGGCATTTGCTTTCTCTTGGGAGGTATGTTCTAAACAGGGTGCTTGTGTATGTTTTGGGTAGGGATGCATTTTTTTCGGCACCTCACAAAACTCACCAAATACTCAGTTATTTAATATGCCTTTTTTATACACTTATGATAAAGCCATCATGGTACCTCACTTCAGTTAGCCTCCATTGTCCCCCATTGGCCCAGAAGAGTGCTGACATCAGGAATAATGGTCTATGTGTCTTCATCAGATTTTTGGGAAAAGTTCAATACCATGCTATGTTCCTTATTGCCTTTAGGGGATGCCTATTAATTTTCCCCTCATCTCCTGTTAGAAGAATAGATACCAAATGCTTTGAGCAGTGCACACCCAAGAGGAATACTTACTCTTGATAATTGCTCTTTGTTCTTTCAATTGTGGCCCTGGTTCTATTTGCCGTGGAGTGGATTGCTGAAGATCTTCTATAACCCAAAAAAAAAACCAAAAAAAAAAAACCAACAGAATGTCACATTCCCTTGGTTTAGTCAAACTCCCACACATGATCCCAGTTTTCCCCAGGGCAAAGTAACTTCAGTGTGCAGAATATCATTGATTTCCTACACTGAGGTCACTTTCCTAATTTGTTCCAGCTCACAAATACTGTTTTTCAATTTTCCATATATGTTAACATGTTGTTTGTATTTTAATGTTCATTAAAATTTTTGGACTTCAGATCATACCTAAAGGTATTAAAATAAGTTGTGTTCTTGTCTGAATTAAGGGTGACATTTTTCTCTTTTCAGTTCCTCCCAAATTTGTGGTTCAGCCACGGGACCAGGACGGGATTTATGGCAAGGCTGTCATCCTCAATTGCTCAGCAGAGGGCTATCCTGTACCCACCATAGTGTGGAAATTCTCTAAAGGTATGACGTTACTTGATTTGCTTGTTGCCTGCCAAACATGGTAGAATCTAAAGAATTAGAGGAGCATTTTGCATCCTTCCAGACATGCTTCTGGCAAGTAGATATGTTCCCACCTCCACCAAGTCTGTCTTCTCACATTTACCCCTCTGGTCCACCTGAGTGTTTTTAATTTGAACCAGGAGTGTCTGGTCTTGTATAGCATGCCCTGGGAAAGATCATGAATGGGGCAGGGGATTCATTGGAAGTTATTTCAGCCCTGGGGACAGCTCTGCATTGCCTACCTGTGTGGTGTAACCATGATCTGCTTGGGGAACACTGCACACCCCTCCATGTGCAGACACAAGAACGAATTGTCAGAATTGTCCATTGTTTGAGAAGAATCCCCAGGGTTTATACATATGACATTAAGTGGGTGTAGACGGTTAAAAATAAAATTGATGGATTTATTTAACTAGTTATCTCAGAATATACAAATTCCATATCATTTGCCTGGTATGCTCTTTTTTTTTTTTTTTTGGTATGCTCTTTTAAAAACACACACATCCATGTCCTATGTTGAGCATCCAGTGTTCTTTGTTTGAATATGTGTGTCTAATCATGCTTTCTCTTCAAAGGCAAAGCATCTTCGCCAGTTTTAAGGTAAGACTATAAACATTACAGGAATAGAAACGTAACATGCAGACTAATGGGGAACGTTCTAGACACCATAGAGATCATTTATATCCATCTTACAGTCTTCTCCAGGGAAGGGTGCTTAACTGTGCCCACCAACATATTGGAGTTCTCTTTCTTTTCTCATTCACTCATCTTCACTCAGTAATTTATCAAACGGTTGAAGGCCAAACGCACACAGGTGGGATAAGCAAATAAATCATGGTCTCTTTTCCTAACAATCTAAGACCTACTATGTGTGTTTAATTGTTCTGAGTGTATTATTTATTTGTTTGCTTTATTATGGTTTGTATTCCAGATGTTGCTTTTTAAAGTAACATGTTGCATTTTCTTATTATGGAAATATCAGTGCAACAAAAGCAGAACAAATGGGTCTTACTTACCACCTCCTTCCAGGGGGAAAGAGAAGAGGGAGGGAAGAGTGTGCTAGAAACCACTTCATTGCAGGAGGGAATCAATTAAATTTTTAAGAATTCCCTGAGGCTCCTCCCCTGTAGCCTGCCACATACATTGTCCATGTGAAAGCATGTTATTCAAAAACCAAGCCTGTTATTCAGAATATCTGCCCACGTGACCTTTTATTTTCGACCATATTTGAAGCCTCATGTTGCATTACATGAAAACAAACAGCATGCATTTAACTTAGTTTATATACATATTCATATATGATATTATGAACATTTCCCACAACACTTACCTTCTTCAAAATTATATCTAATGTTTGCCATTGTGCAAGGCTCCCTCTTTCTCCTTGAGATTGTTTTCAGTGTATCACTACTATAAACTCCACCGGATGAACATCCTTGGATGTGTAGGTAATGTGTGTCTGTGTGATTGTTTTCTTTAGGGAAATCCTTAGAAGTAAAGTAGCATGACCACATTTAAGACTTTTGGTCTGTACTGGCCCAGGGTCCTTTGGAAAATATTGCAGCAGTTTGCACACTCACCAGCAGGGTGAGGCTCTGTGTGTCCCTGCATCCTCGCCAATTCGAAAGGATCTTTTTATTCTTAAACTTTATAATGTGATGGTTGAAATGGCTTTCTGTTTTAATTTGTATATTTGGATTACTAATGATGTTACAACATTTTTATCCTCTGTTTACTGACCACTTCTGCTTCCCTTTTGGGAAATTTCTTATTCATATTACTTACATGCTTCTCTCCATATTTTATTTATTTGTAAGAGTGTTTCTCATAGATGAAATAGTGCTTCCTCTGTCATGGATCTGATAGACATTTTATTCCTTCCCATCATTCATGTGCGAATTAAGTTTCAGTAGCCTTTTTTATTTTTAAATTTTATGTGCAATATGAAATCATCAAAGAAACACATAGAAATTACAACAAAAATTTTTTTATGAAGTTAGATTCCCCCCAAATAGCATCATTCAAAGATAAAGATAATACTCTGTGTTTTTGGCTAGCCTATCACACCTGTCTCCTAGCAAATATATATATCCGTGGATATGCATATAATTTTGCAGGCTTTTTAATTGATCATATGATTCTTCCTAACTTATAATCTCCTTTCTTCAGTTATCAATATGCTGTGAATTTCTTTCCATGTCAATAAACATGGGTGATCACTATGACTTTTTAATACCTGTGTAGTATTCACATTAATACTTCCATAAGTCCCTCTAACTATCTCTTTGACTTTGCTAGGATTGGGGTCAGTGACTTAAAGCCACAGGGGTTTACTCTTTCTCCTGTGAGGAGTTTGGACAGATAGTTCAGGACCAGTTTGTTTTTTCCTCTAGGGTATCAGGGACCCAAACTGCTTGTACCTCTGTTCTGCCCCTGTTGGCAAGCAGCTGCCACCACTGAGCTCCACGGCCACTTCCAATTTTTCCACTGAAGGGAGAGAGCTGCCACCCGACCTGAGTCATCCCCCTGCAGGGACCTCTCCAGAATGTCCATAAATCAGTTCTGCTGGTCCGCACTTGGGGCCAGCCCCTCCCCCGCCTCTTCTCTGGTGGCTCAGTTGCATCGCTGGTCCCACCCCAATCTCATTTTTATGGTCGAACTGGTTTCAAAACAATGAAACTGCAAACCGCTTGTGTCTTAATTCTCTCCGTGGGTTCCGTGTGCTCAGCCCTGGTGGTCTGGCGTGTGACAGTCCGGAATGCAGCCTCATCGGGCACAGAGTGCTGTCTTGGTCAAACCCAGAGCCATGGGCATGGCTATAACTGCAACCACTGCTGGCCCCGGGAGTGTGGGCAGCCCGGTCCCTGCTGCGCACCCCCACGGCCCCTCCCTTCCTTTTACCTTGAATAGAGATTTCTCTAATAAATCTGGTCATAAGCGTCAAAACAAACAAACCAACAAAAAACCCCCTAGGGGTCTGCAAGATGCTTTGTAACGATGCACGTGGCCGCCATGCCTACAACTTGGGCTACTTCATGAAGTAAGAGGGGAGGATGGACCTTGGCAGCTAGGTGTGTCCAACGCTCTTGCTGCATAGTGTATGTTAGCATTCTTCTGAGTTTTCACTCTCCTAAAAATGTCACAGTGACTATCTCATCGATCCTTGTACGTGTCCATTTTTTCCAGGGATAAATTTCTGAGTAGAATGGCTGGCTCAGACTAAGCAATTTCTATCACTTTCAAGACACCTTGGCCACTGGCCAGAATTGTATTCCTGCACACAACCTTCCACAGTTTACATCATTGCCGGTTTCCTACAACGAAAATAATACCGGTGTTATGCTTATTTTTATTATTTTTTTAAATAAGAGGTCTGCTTATTTTTAAAGATTTGAGAGAGAGAGAGCGCATATGAGTTGGGATAGGGACAGAGGAAGAGGGAGAGAGAGAATCCTAAGCAGACTCCCTGCTGAGCATGGATCCTGGTGCGGGGCTTGGTCCCAGGACCCTGAGATCACGACCTGAGCCTAAATCCAGAGTTGGCAGCTTAACTGACTGAGCCACCGAGGTGTCCCAATGCTTATTTTTAAATATCTTCCGATGGAAAAGGGGGAGATTGTATATTATCATTTTAATTATACAAGTGATAAAGATGTTTCTTAAGAAAAATTTAGCCTTGCTTATGGAATGTGTTCCCAGTAATCAAATATTCACTGAGAGCATCAGGGCGCCTTCCTTATGTGTGACCAAAAGAGATGTAAACACAATGGACTTGGGTTGTTCCTCTGAGAGCTGCAACAGTTTAATCCTGAGGCTGCAGAATTCCAGAGTCAGTGCAGTGGCTTGAGGACGTCGGGTGCAGGAAGGAAACAGTCTTTGTGGGAAGATAACGTTCTTACAGTTTTGACATTGGGTATGGATGCGCCAAGTCTAAAACATCCAATTCTGTCTCCTGATTGTTTTGTCCTTTTACACGGACAAACAAAGCCTCTTGTCTGAAGAGATTTTTTAAAATCAGGGCTGAATACCATAGTGGGCCTCATCTGTGTTCCCAGAAATGTATGGTGGTGGGAACGGGTTTCAGCCACTGTCCTGGGGACCATCCCCTTGTTAGCCGCTCGGGCCCAAGGAGGGGCTGCTCCGGTAAGAACCAGCCAGTGCTCTGGCGTGTGGCCCGCTGGGGCATCCTTCACTCTCTGGCTGTCCAGGGACAGGGGTGCTTCTGACCCCAGGGAAGCTTCCTCATGGAAACTTTCAAGGGCAACGGTCAGAGATGCCTTGGTGTGTGGGGGTCGGAGAGGAGTGGGGAGTAGTTTGCATTTCAGATAAGGTTGTCAGGGAAGGCCCGAGAGCAGGTAATGTTAGCGAAGCCTGAAAGAAATGGGAGACGAGCTTTGTGCACGTCTGCAGGGGAAGCGCCGAAGGTCAAGGGGCCAGATGGTGCCAAAGTCAGGGGCAGAAGTGTGTTTGAGCCTGGAATGTTTCAGAAACGCTGAGGAAGACCCTGAAGCTGGGGCAGAGTGAAAGGAGATCCAAGAGGTCACAGGGGGTCAGCTCTCCCATCAGTCATTGCAAGGATGTGGTGATGCCAAAGTGGGGGTGAGTGGGGGTCACAGTAGTGACAGTGACACTCTCCCCTTTCTTCCACTGCCATGCTGACCCCTGAACCAGGAGGCTGTTGGAGCAACCCAGCAGGCGCGGTGCATCGGCCCTGTGTGTGGAGGCCGGACCTGCGGCTGGAGCCTGTTAGCGGCCCCCAAGCCATAACATGGCTTGGATCAGGGTGACAGCCCCGCAGGAGGGGAAGCAGTTCAGAATCCGCTAGGCTGATGGGCTGGCTGTGGGTGTGAGCGAAGGGGAGGCGTCTTTGACAAGAGATGGAGCACTCCCACTCCCGGAGGGCAAATTGGGCTGCGGTCAGCACAGGAGTGCCGGCCTCTCCGTAGACACAGCCCTCACTC